TTTCTTGAATTTTAAATAGGAATGAGGAAAATATTTTTGCTCCAAATCAAGAATGGGGAAGGGACGGGGATATAATTCCCCAAACCCGATGGTAAATTAGTAAAATATCAATAGATTTAATATTGATTTTTAATGTATCTCTAAGTTTTCATCATATTCTTATAATCCTAAGATCCCACAATTTCATTTATAAGATACACCCCAAATTGTCATAATCAAATTCATAAAATACCCCCAAATTCCCATAATCATATTTGTAAAATATTCATAAATTAGATTATTTAAAAGGGTAAATCTCTTAAACTACCTCTACTATTCATGAAATTGACAAATTGTACCCTTACTGTTTACATATTGTTTTAAGTTCCCCTTAAGTTTTGACAATTGTCTAAAACCTCCCTTACTGTTAATTTTTCATCACATTCCGTTTATATGTGACTTATGTGAGTGTTAAGTATTTTAAATTCCTAAAATACCCTTATTGTTCATCACCACTGTTGAAAGTAATGGTGATTTTGATTCTATTATCACGGGCGACAGGCCACTGCAACTTCAGAACGACAAAAGTTTGATGGGAAGCTGAGCCTCCTAAGTTTTGTTCTGAGTCCGATGACGAATTCAACACTGGAATTCACAAATGCATGAATCACCTGAGGATTTGCATCGTAAAACTTCATTTTATAATAGAGCAGTGGAAGAACATTTGTGATTTGAATATATACGTTTTTGTCTTATTTAATGAGAATATGAAGCCAGGGCCGAGCCAGAGAGAAACTATGGACGAAACAGGAGAGAGAGAATAAAAGGGATGAAAAAATTGCTTTCAGTTTCTTTCCTGATTTTGTGTCCCATCACCAAAACTGCTCGAGCATCCACCACTGTATCTTCTTTTTTCGGTTCCGAAGGCAGGAGACTACTCACTAGTAACGAAAACATACCGAGAAACAATTAATTTCCCCACTTTCTTCGCCAGTATTACTTAGAAGATGTAGACCAATCGCACCACAACCATCGAACCACCGCCCATTTCTCCTTCGGTTATTCTCATCATTGTCATTTCAGTTCTTCGACTTTGTAGTCAGATCCCAATGATTTTCTCTTTCCCACCATTACACTTCATTAGCCCCTCCATTTGTCCAAGCCTGAAAATAACTTAATTCTCAAACTATGTTAACAATGTATTTAACGTAAAAGAATAAACCGACTTGCTAAAAACACAGAGAGAGATTCTGTAACTACAAAACCTACAAGGCTTTTGGGGTTTGGAATGGAGGGAGTTGTACAGATTGGCAAGCAGGGTGCTTATACTCTGGGAAATTTCTTAAATTAAACGGCAATCGTTGTACAGATTGGCAACTGACGATGTCGTAAAAAGATCATGCATTCGACAGGCCCCTTGGTGAGCTTGTCTTTAATTTACTGTACAAGCTGCAGCACATTCAATTCCTTGGGTGCATGATTCTTCTCTTTCCTCTCCATATGAGAAGGGTATTTTAAGAATAAGGGTCGCCTGCCACAACGAATTTTTAGGAATAAGAGTACTTTGCACAAAGCTGAGAGCTGAGTTCTGTACAAGCTTTTGTAAAGAACTAACGGTGTGGAAGAACAGCAACGGTGGCATCTGGACGAGACTTAACACCGGAATTTGCAAATGAACCAGTATATACAGTCAGTTGGGTTTTATTTTGAGCAAATTTGATATTTCATTTTTTTTTCTGTTAGTGTTTAAGGGAGTGTCAATTGTTATAAGACTTAAGGGTATCTTAAGACAATATGTAAACAGTAAGGGTACAGTTTGTTAATTTCGTGAATAGTAGGTATAGTTTAAGAGATTTATCCTATTTAAAAATATTTGATAATTGATATTTTGTATGTTAAATAGAGATTAGTAAAGATTTACAGGAGATTAAAAATTTTAATCCTACGGTCTTAGATCTTACCAAATTCTAATCTAGTATTTAATGAAATATAAAAATTACTAAACACTAATCTTTTTGTCTCTCTCTCTCTCACCAATTTCACAAAACCACCGTCGTGCCCAATTTTTGGGTAAAATTGAAACCATTTTCAATATTTTATTACTTATTTATTTATATTAGTTTGAACTATTTTTTCTTACTTTGCTAATATAGTTTTTATTTGTAGGAATTGAATGGAAGATGGAGCCCCTTATATAGATGTTTAAAGTTGTTTTGTGGATATTACATGACAATGGATAGCTATTTTTTGATAGATATTATAGGTTCTAGGTTGATTTTTTGTTGATAGAAGAATTGGTTTGTTAAAATTATCATTTTTAGCATACTAATGACCAATTGAAATTTACAAATTACAAGGTATAATTATTTATTTATTTTTATGTTAGAAGCTTTTATCTTGATATTAAGTTTAAAGTTTCTTACAAGTTACTATAGTCTCCACGACAATAAGTGAAAAAAAAGTACAATTGTTTAATTTTGGAACTGAAATACAATAGTTAGGCCCAAAATCTTAGCCCAGCCTAGGCCTAGCCTAAGCCCATTGTTATGAAGGCAAAGCCCGGCCTAGCCCAGCCCATGATCACCCCTAGAATGGGTGCCTCTACTCGAACCCACCCCACCATCGAGGACAGGGCAAGGATGGGGTGGAGTGTCTTAACTATAAGGGCAAGGGACAAGGAGGAGTACCCCATCCCGTGCATCGCATCGTGCCCCGCTAGTATATATATAGCAAGATGGTCCATGTCACCTTGCTTCTCCTTGCTCCATTACCCCAACCCTGCAATCTTCTTGACTCTCTCTCTCCTCTCCCCCTTCCCACCACTCTTGTTTTGCCATATTTTAGCACCCTCTCTTCATTCCTCTCCCTTACCATTAGGTCCTCCCCCGCCCCCTCTCCCACAACTCACGTTTCTTACTTTCTATAACAACTTAACTTTTCTCCTTAATTAGCTCAGTATATGTTTTATCCTCTCCTTCACTCCATTTTATTCTATTTAATTTCCCATAAAAATAGGGACATAATTTATTAAGATTTGGTTTTCCTTTATAGAATTGATTTCAAGCAAAGAGAGGGGAATAAGGGGAATTCGATGTTTCCTATATATTCATGGCATCTTCTATTATTGTTAAATAATCTATTTTTAAATAAAAATTCATTATTAAATAATCCATTAGTTATGAAAATTATTAAAAAATTTTGGAAAATATTCTACAAAAAATTATGAAATAATTATGTCAGAAATAATCCATTATTTTACAAATATTAAATAATTTAATAATCTGCCAAAAATTAATAACCAATCCATTGTTTAATAATTTTTTGTTATAAATAAACGTTCAAAATTTCAATGGTTAACATAAATTACATTAATCATTGTAATTTAATAAAATTTCATTAAATTTTTACAATAATAATTTGTTGATAAAAGACATTACTAATTAATGTAAGTTACTAATTTATATAAAATCAATAATTATAGTTAACAATTATCAAATAATTTAGGGAAACTCTTTAACTAATAATCCTTTATTATTATTCGACTAAATAATTATTAAAAATAGGAAATTAATCTATGAGAAATTGTTTATAATTATTAAATAACAATATGTTATTACTATTTCAATAAATAATTATCAAATAATTTAGGAAAATTATTAAGTCTATCATAATTACATTAATTTACTATAATTACACTTACTTTGATTAATAGTAAATAAATTAGACTTAAAAAGTAAATAATTTTCATTAATTTATCATTATTGTAAATAATTAATTTATTATACATTACTACTAATCAATACACTTTTCAATATTTTTTGGAAATTATCATAAAATATTATTATTTAATTTATTGTTAGTTAATTAGTTATAGAAAATTACTAGAAAATTTTCTCTGTAAAATTGGGGCTCTATCCCCCCCCCTCCCCCCCCCGAAAGGGCAAGTTTTTTCAAATCTTAAATAGGGCAGGACAGAGACAAGGTGACAAGGAAAATATTTTTGCCCCAAATTAGGGATGGGGTTTGTATATATTTCCCCGAACCCGATGGTAAACTAGTAAAATATTTATTTTTGCTCTAAATTAAAGATGAGGTTTGCATATAATTCTCCGAACCCGGTGGTAAATTAGTAAAATATCTGTAGATTTAATATTGATTTTTAAAATATTTGTAAGTTTTTCTTATATTCTTATAATCCTAAGGTCCCATAATTTTATTTATAAAATACCCCAACCTATTATAATCCAAATTTTAAAATATCCTCAAATTCTTATGATTCTATTTATATCTATAAATTAATTTTTTTTTAAATAATTATCATGAAAAATATTTAAGGATTTCACATCTCCGACAAAAAATTGGATGCTTCAACCCGAAGCTATTCCGTCATTGAAATCAGAGTGAAGATGGAGTACAGGTCTTGACAACAAGGAGGGGTGTCTCATCGTATCGCACGGGCCTGCTAGTATACAATATTTATGTACTACCTTATGTTATAAAAATGGTATGGTATCTGAAAACCTTTAAACAAAACTCAGGTGAATTTGGATCTATTATTTTTTTTACTTATATTTGGATCAATTTTATTTTACCCTTCTTTTATATTAAATCACTCGTTTGCCCCTATTGGTGGTGAGAGCCGATAGAGCGCTTCGAAACCGCATCTGGCCTACCCAAGTTACGTGCCAACCGAGCCACCGGCCCACCGCTCAGTTGGCGGATCAATTGCAGTTGATTGCTTTATTTGTTAGCGCTTCGATAAATTCCGATTGATTGATTTATCATTTAACCAGGTCTAGGTGCTGTACCTTTTCGGTACCACAATGTGGGGCTATTTCGATTAAACATGTTCCATCGTCGATGACCGTCGAGATTTTGGAATTAACGGCTAGAATTATCCCAACGCAAGATTTCTTCTCATTGGAGGAGATATAGTTCCTCGATATTTCATTGGTCCACGTCAACACCGATGACACGTTCATCGGTACCTTGCTTTCATTTTTGCTTTAAGGCCCAGTCGACTCTCCCAGTTCTTCAACTGCGGCAAAACATTGAAACGACTCGAACACAGAGCGAGCAAGAGAATCACTTCTTAGATCTGCTCACATTCTTGGTCGTCTGGCTCGAAGTTTCGAACCGTGAGACCCTAGGCTTTCAAGCCATGGACGGTGCGTGGAGAAAACGTGGGTCTTTGATCGTCTTAGGAATTGTCCTGTTCGGTAAGAGCTGCTCTCTATCTAATCTGATGATTCATTTTCTTCTTTTTCTTCTTCTTCCCCTTCATTGGAATTACAGTTGCCAGGTATTGTCCTTTTTATGTTTTTATTTAGGGAAAATTGCAGCTAGAATGCTCTACTTAGTCGTTGTAGCCATCACGATTTCATGAATGTTTTTTTTTCTCAACACAAAATTTGCTTATTTATTTTGATTTCTACTGGTTTAAAATCACTAACCGAAGTTTCCGTTGGATCGGTAGATCAATACAGTAACTCTGGACTTTGAATGAATGGCTGATAGCTTCTTTATCTGCTTTTATTATCTGGTTGGAGTGTTAGATTAGATCTGATGCGATTTCACCTTTTTCTGTCTTGATCTCGATATATGAACTCGTAAATGCGTAAAATGTAGAAAATAGCAATATCTGAATGCTTTTGATGGGAGAATATATAGATCTGCTTGCATTTATTGATTTTTGTTGTGTGTTTATGGGGTAAGTAAATTTGAGTGTTTCTTTAGTATTTAACTCCATCTCTGATAAATTTTTTAGAACGTCATTCTCCCTCTGTTGGAACATAGTTGAAAGAGTATTGGTGCAGTAGAATGGACAGCTATATGAAGATTTAGTGTTTCAAACTCATAGCTCTATTTTTTTCCTGCAATATTCAATCACTTGATTAAAACTTACACTACGAAGCTGTGTCACAGGAACCAAAACTCTTTAGGAGTAGAAACTAATGTTAGTCCCAGAGACTTCGATCACTTTGGCCCTGTTTGGGCGTCATGTGGATTGGAATCATTTTTTTCTCAGTTTTACATGATACGTTGGTCCATACGGTGGTTTTCAGAGTTGGGTTCATTTCGGTCTGTTACGTAAAGTTTACTTTTGATAATTGGGCTGTTATGTGAAGTTATAAAGGAGTTTGTTTTCAAGAAAAGCTAACATTCCTTATGATATTTCCTTACCAACACGGCTGCATTCTGGTTGTTAAACTTCTCCAAAGTTTGTAGGAACTGAAACACAATGGAATTATTTCATTTCAAGGGGCATCTAAACCGAACATTAGTCTTTAAACATTTTAGGCGATTCTCCTAGTAACAACTTCTAAAAGATTGGAACACGGCATTAGTCTTGCGACATTTTAGGTCATTTATTTTGGCTTTCAGGTTGGTCTTGCGGCATTGGTCTTGTGCCATGCACCAGGCTTTTGACTCGGTCCAGAGTTTTTATTGAGTTTGCCATCTCTGAACCACATTCTGGAAGCTATTGCACAGATAAATCAATATTGAAGGAATTGACTAATTATATCGACGCTTTCGTTTCTTGGTCCCTTGTTGCTAGCCTGCTTGGTTAAGAATAAATTAAGTCGTTAATAACTGATCTCTTTGCCAAACTCATTTAAGAGGTAGCAAGCATTCTATTTTTATGTAATAAAATATTCAACCTTGTACTTTATCTTCCTCTATAGTTGGGCCTGCATGTTACAACTGAACTTTGGGTGGTTGTATTTTGTTTCACTTTCTTGATTTGTTCAGACCGAACATTGCAATTTATATTTCTAAAAGCATGGATTAATGTTCCAAAGAATTTATTTACAGGATGCCTGTCAGCCTTTGCTATAGCAAAAGAAGAAGCTACCAAATTAGGAACAGTCATTGGGATAGACCTTGGTACAACCTACTCTTGTGTTGGTGTCTACAAGAATGGTCATGTGGAAATCATAGCCAATGACCAAGGAAACCGTATCACTCCATCTTGGGTTGCGTTCACTGACAGTGAGAGATTGATCGGTGAGGCAGCAAAGAATCAGGCGGCTGTGAATGCCGAGAGGACCATCTTTGACGTCAAAAGACTCATTGGAAGAAAGTAAATCT